CAAATCAAAGGTCATTTGAATGTAGGAAGTGTCTACGTATACTGTTTGTTGCGACGGTTATTATACATTTGCTCGCCGCGGCGATTTTTTAATCTAATTAATAAAATTAACTTATTATTTTTATTAAACAACATTTTATGAAAGGGTCCAATCGACCTCCGCGACGGTGCTTTTTTTTAAATATTATTTAGTTGCTGCTGAGGAGCAGTAGACACATCTTAAAATGTATAATGGGTTGCATACAATACTCGTATTAAATCGGGAGTAAAGTTCTACTTTACTGCCGATTGTTGACTACTTTAGGATAAAATAATTTCTGAAAAGAACATTCAAACAAATTTAAAAATAAATCGTCCTATTCAGTCAATTTTTAAAAAAGTTATAGTATTTAAAAATTGAAAAATTTTAACTTTTTTGTGGTTGTGTAAAATTTTTTAAAAATTCTGAGAAACCTTTTTAGTGGGGGAGAAAAATAAAAAAAATTAAGCCAAGGTTTTTACATTTCTTTGACTCTTAAGAGAATTCAGGAAAATAAAATATTCCTTATTCAAACATAAAACGCAAATCAAGTCCATTTTAAAAACAATAAAGTCAATTTGATGCAAAAATTCGAGTATTGTTTGGGTCCCTTTCGATTTACACACCTACCCTGCACGCAAATAAATGCTGCAATATGAAACAAAAGGTCGTTCCCTGAATCCTTTTGTTGAAATATGCAGGCTTTGTAAGTGACCGTCGTCCAAATCAAAATGGAAAATACCTTCCCGACCAATCGATGTTTAACAACAAAAGATTGAAATTGTAGGGGTCGGTGCAGTGGAAAATAATTGCATGCATTTTAATGAAAATTTGATCAATAATCCCTCGTAAAATGTTTTATTGATGCTGAATTATTAATAAGAGATTTCGAGTTGTAAACAAGGATCAATCATCTTTCGATAAATAATCAGGATGAAAGTGATGAAGTAGCGCGAGCTCTTTTTATTTTGAAAAGTTAATGAAAAATTCACACACACTTGGATGAATCTTTAGAGTTAAGTGACAGGCCGATACTCGAGATAATTTATCGTAAGTAATATCATAAGGGCATTTAATTTTTCCGAAAAGAATCGAAAAAACACGTTGCTAAGTAATATTTTAACAAAAAGCATGAGTGCTGGTGGCAACAAAAATACGAGTCGAAGAGGAGGATTTTTGCACCTGCACGAATGCATTTTGTTAAAAAATATTACTTAGCATTGTGTTTTTTCGATTTTTTTCACAGGAAAAATTAGATGCTCGAATGGTATTTGACAAGACTATTTCATGAGTAACAGTAAACAATTAAAATATAAATTGCAATTTTTGGTGACAGCAGCTGTCAAGTTTTGCCGCGGGTAAACTCGAATAAACTGCTGACAGGTGCTGTCACACAGTTTTTTTACCTAGAAACCATTTGTAATTCAAAATTGCGTGTTTGTGATTGGTGGAAATTAAGACGAGGGAAATAGTCGACGAAAATTATTTATTAATACACTCAACGCTTTTAACATTAATATATTGCTTAGTTTTCTTTTGAAATGTTGATAAATGTAAACCTTATATTAAATATATAGTCAACCTCCATTTCAGAATAATAACAATAACAAATTAACTTTAGAAGCATTGTTTTGATAAAAAACATATACTATTCTCCACACCTCAAAGTACCACCACGTGACCACGTACGGAACGCAGTCTTTTGAAAATTTGGCATTCAAGGCTTTTCAGGTTTTGTATCTGTCAAAGTATAGACAATGAAAGTAATACTATTTATAGTATTACCGCTTATGTTTAAGCGTTAAAAGTTAATAAATCTTTATAGTATCACAATAACAATGGTTGGTTTAAAAATTTAGGAATATAAATACTACATTTAATGAAATTCCAAAGTATAAGGTGCAATATAAGTGATATTTTTGTGCATTTGGTCTACATTTCTCCATAAAATAGTTTGAACTAAACAGCATTTATTAAAAAAAATCTAATTTCTCTATTATGAAATAAGAATATCTGTATCAAAGGTAGGTTAATGTATTAGAATAAAAAATATCATCAAATTTTGTATTTTAAGGTTAGAAAAATCTATTTTGACCAAAATAAATAAGTGGATTATTTGGAAGAGTGTGTTAATATGGTCATAAATAAATATAGGTATACTAAATAATTGTTGAATATGGTTCAAATTAAATTGAATCTTTTATACTTCTAATGACAAAACTTGTGCATACCTCTCGGCATACCTACTTTAAGTTAGATTATAAGAAAACAAACAATTTTTAGAGAAACTTGCAATGTGAAAATATTTAATACTCCCATTACATGTGATTTATTAAAGTTTTTAAAGTTATAATGATTTTTCGATGTAGATCAAGTTTTTGAACTATTTATATTGACAAAACTTTATGTAGGTACACTTTAAGCGGGATAAGAAAAACTACCACATTTTTAAATACCATATTATACAGTTTTGTGTAAATAATCCAAAATACTTATTTATTTTGGTCAAAATAAATTTTTCTAACCTTAAAATTACAAAATTACATGATATTTTTGTTATAATATATTAACCTACCTTTAAAACAGATATTCTTATTCCATAATAGAGAAGCTAGATTTTTTTAATAAATGCTGTTTAGTTAAAACTATTTTATGGAGAAAACCAGATATTTGGACCAAATGCACAAAAATATTACTTATTTGGCACCATACACTTTAGAATTTTATTAAATGCAGTATTTATAAATATAAATATTCTTAAATTCTTAAACCATTCATTGTTATTGTAATGTTATAAAGATTTAAACATTTTTAACGCCTAAACATAATATTATTTCTTTTGATTACTATACTTTGACAGATACATAATCTGAAAAGCCTTAAATGCCAAATTTTCAAAAGACTGCGTTCCGTACGTGGTCACGTGGTGGGACTTTGAGGTGTGGAGCATGGTACACCTACACACACACCACTCCAAGTTTTCTGGAGATGGCATTTTCCAAATATACGATAATATACCTATATATATATATATATATATATATATATATATATATATATATATATATAGCGGAGGCCTACAATTGAGCGAAGCACAAAAAGGCACTTCTTGGCCGAATGGCATACAACATTTTATCTTCAAAGCACTTTTTACAGGTCCATTTAATTCATCAAAGCGGCCTAACCTCACTTTTTTAGAATCTCATTTATTTATTAGCTAGACATTACATTAAATGTACAATAATTATTATTGTTTTTAGAAGCAGTAATAGTTTGCCAATACCTAGCTACATGATTTAAGTAGAAATGGATTTTTGCTATTACATTGAATTCAATTAATTTTTTAATAAATAGGTAGGTATTTCAATTTGTTTGGATTTTTATTTAAAAAATGGGTAGTTTGGAATGTTTAAGCTGGGTTTAACATTTAATTTCACTGAAAACTTAAAGCAAATTAAAACTTAAAGATAATTTAAATCGTAGAAAAAGAATCGTGCGTTTTCTTGGTTGCCTAACCTCACTTTTTGTTTTATCATTAATATTTAATTTTACAATAATTTAATGAAAAATATTAAACATTAACAGTAAAACAAACAAATTAGTGCTTATTATAAATAAATTAAACCAGTTTAGTACGTTAATTTCTTAGAAAAGGATTAATTTGTCACAACAATGCCCCTAGCGAGAAAAAATCGAACTAATTACTTGCCTCATAAAAATTTTTATCGGCCTAGGCCATAACAAGGTATTTCTTTATCGAATGTTGACAACAATAAAGTTTAACCCATAACCGGTACTGTGGTGTCTGGGAGACACTCATCAACGAACAAAGCGCTGTCACACCCTCACCTTTTGTTTTAAAAATCTGTCGCTTCCAATACTTTTAAGTTGGGCAGTTATCAATATGCTCTTAGACTTTGAACAGGTTGGATAATCAAACGGACAAATTATTAGGAGTCAAAGTGTTGAGGTGTCTGGAGTTCGATTTTGTCTCTCGTGTGTGGTGCATCGTACTTTCATCTCTGGGTCATTGCTCGATGAAAAGTTTGAAACATAGCTGACTTTGACCCAGGAGGGACAAAATGGAATTCCGGGTATAGAAATATACCTGTATTTTTGGACAATATCGCAAGCTTTGACCTTCTAGCGAGGTATTTTGTGAATTGTACAACACATGGAGTGGATGATCCAAGATTTGGAAAATTCACGTGTCTATGGGTGGATGGCTTCGTGAAGCGCATGGACATTAAAACTTGTTGCTGGTCAAAGTGGTTCATTGAAACCAAGACCATTAAGGCCTTAGGCCACCAAGGAAGAAGAAGAAGAAGTTGAGGTGTCTATTAGACCACTGCGTACCGTTTACGTTATTTTTATAAAACAATTAATTAGATATGGATTTGCAACAAGGGCCTTCTAAACGTGTCCAAAGTGATAAGAAGGGCTTCAAGGAAACTGTACTATAGTGGTTTTAAGAAATCGACAGCGATATAAGTGATATAGATGACTGTAGTATACATAACCATTATAGTGATTATGTCGTTGAAGATAATCACAGCAGCGATTCAGGACTTGTATGTGAAGATTCTATAAAAAATAATTTTATAGGGTCAGATAGTGAAGAATTTGAAATTTTTTAGGAATTTGAAAAAAAAAACAAAAAAGTTACTATGGAAAAAATAATTGTAAAAATCAGCTATAGTTTGAAGCAGTTATTTTTGCTGTTAAAAAAAGATATATTAGAATTTTTTTGTTTATGTTATTTTTTAAGGTATATTCTTCGAAATAAAGATCGTTTTATTTTGTTTGGTTTAATATTTTTTATAGTTTAATCACAAAGTTTGCACTACTGCACTTTTTGTACAAGTTTTGATTAAAACCTATTTGTTTAAATTTTTCTTTTATTTAGGTATTATTTTTGGTGATATTCTAACTTTATATATAGTCCCTAGTATTATAGACCGCGTGGAGATAAAAATATTTTTTTATTTTTCAGGACTTGTTACCAGCTTCGACTCGCACCTGCGCGGTCCTGCTTTCGTGATGGAACCTCCTGCCCGTCTGGAGTTCTCCAACTCTTCAGGCGGCTGGTTGGACTGCTCTGCCTCCGGCAGTCCGCAGCCTTCCATAGACTGGCTCTCCGTGGACGGCACCTCGGTGGGCGACGTGATGGGCATACGCAGGGTGCTGCGCAATGGGACGCTGTTCCTGCAACCGTTCGCGGCCGCTGCGTACAGGCAGGACATACACAGCACGGTGTACAGGTGTGTGGCCTCGAACAATGTCGGCAGGATTATCAGCAGGGACGTGCAAGTTAGAGCAGGTAAGTTGTATTTTGTGATAAGAAATTAAAGGCAAGGGTGGCAGGGAGGATAGTTCCTTTCCTAGACAGTCAAAATCGGCTTTTAAACCTTTTTTTCAAAAAAAAAATATTTAAATTTATTTATATGCACGTACTATGCCTCACACCTCAAAGTCCCACCACGTGACCACGTACGGAACGCAGTCTTTTGAAAATTTGGCATTTAAGGCTTTTCAGGTTATGTATCTGTCAAAGTATAGTCAACGAAAGAAATAATATTATGTTTAGGCGTTAAAAATATATAAATCTTTATAAAACATTACAATAACAATGGATGGTTTAAGAATATAAATACTGCATTTAATGAAATTCTAAAGTGTATGGTGCCAAATAAGTAATATTTTTGTGCATTTGGTCCAAATATCTGGTTTTCTCCATACAATAATTTTAACTAAACAGCATTTATTAAAAAAATCTAGCTTCTCTATTATGGAATAAGAATATCTTTTTTAAATGTAGCTTAAAACAAATCTATTGTAATCACCATATTTTCGTTTATATTTATACTGGTGCGGCAGTATATATACCATCCCTTAATTACGAATCTAAAATAAAACTTAACAATTTGTTTTCTATCTATTCTGCAGAAGCGGTGGCAATATGGGAAGCCCTATGTTACATACAAAGACATCATATCAGCAGAGCCGTTATATTTTCGGATTCTTTAAGCGTTCTAATGAGTCTTCGAAAAAACATTTTAGACAAACACTTTAAACCCACTCATATTTCAAATTAAGCATCTTTTAAAAAATCTTACAAAAAATCATACCTTAATAAAATTTTTGTGGATTAAAGCACATGTTGGCATTCCCGAAAATGAACACATTGATTCTTTGGCGAAGGATTCTATCTCTAATGGGATTGAAAGTTGTCTGCGGATTAGTGCCGGGGATACTACAAGTCTAAATCACATGTCATGGGAGTATTAAATATTTTTACATTTCAAGTTTCTCTAAAAATTGTTTGTTTTCTTATAATCTAACTTAAAGTAGGTATGCCGAGAGGTATGCACAAGTTTTGTCATTAGAAGTATAAAAGCTTCAATTTAATTTGAACCATATTCAACAATTATTTAGTATACCTATATTTATTTATGACCATATTAACACACTCTTCCAAATAATCCACTTATTTATTTTAGTCAAAATAGATTTTTCTAACCTTAAAATACAAAATTAGATGATATTTTTTGTTCTAATACATTAACCTACCTTTGATACAGATATTCTTATTTCATAATAGAGAAGTTAGATTTTTTTTAATAAATTCTGTTTAGTTAAAACTATTTTATGAAGAAATGTAATTCGAAAACTCAAACGAAAACATTGAACATGGCAGTATTTATATTCAAAAATGTTTACCTTCATAAAAATCCAAGCCCTAGTAATAACGATAGGCTATAAGAAGAAAACCCAAATAAACGCAGAGAAATCAAGTTAACAATCAAAATACCTCGAGGCACTTGAAGACTGAATGCGGCCCTGGAGATAAAACCACTGAATTCACAAAAAGGACCGCGCTGGCCACCTTCAAATGTCTTGATCAAGTGTTTCAATTGTGTTTTGAAAAGACTGCAAAATATACTGCCTTAAACTGTCTACACTATTGTTTTCAAAATTTGGAAAAATTGGAAAATTTAAAAAAAACTTTTTCATATTTTCCGTATTATTCGTAATTCAAATTGGAAATTATGTCCGATTTTCCGAATCTTTATTATTCGTCAATTTTTCTGCAAATATCCCTATTTAACCGTTTAAATGCTGGTAGTGTTGGTAGGTGTGAAAAAAACGTATTTTTCAAAAAAATGTAATTTAAAAGGTTATAAACCACCTTACCAAGTAAAACTTAGGCATTTAATCATAAATAACATACAAAAATTTCCGTTATTAAAAAACAGATTTTTCTTGACGCTTTAAAACGCTACCTATAACCAAAGATAATAATAATAATAATAATAATAATAATAATAATAATAATAATAATAATAATAATAATAATAATAATAATAATAATAATAATAATAATAATAATAATAATAATAATAATAATAATAATAATAATAATAATAATAATAATAATAATAATAATAATAATAATTATCTTTGCCTATAACCACCAAAATTATCCAAAACTGTCTTAAATTTGATCTAAAATTATCTTTAAATCTAAAACGTGTTTTAAACTGTAAAATTGTCCTTAAAATCTTTTAGAACTGCCTTAACCTGTCTAACTGTAGTTTTGTTAGACACGAACTCTAAAACTTGGAAATTTATAAAAATCCAAAATGTTTTCTGAAACTTACAAAACTAATTTTTTTTAAATATTTGTTTAAAAAATACTACAATAATACTATAACAATATACAGGGTGTTTTACATTCATGGTCCATTAGAATTTTCTGGGGAACGAAAAAAGATAGCGATTTGTAATTTTAAAAGCGATTATAATCCATTTAGTTTTATTTTTCTAAAATATTGAAAACAAAATAATACTTCCGGTTTAACCAAAAGTGACGTCAACTCATTTCAAATAGAACACCTCATATATTTTTACATTTTTAAATTCTGTATAAAACTCTGATTAAAATTACCATACCAAATTGTAACCAAATTTTTTTTTACCAAAAATAAATCAAATAAATAATATAATTATGAGTACGGTAGAGTAGTATTCTTTACTGATTTATTATTTTATAAAAAATGCGGCTTCTTTGTAATAACGCGGTGTAAAGCCCACAAAAGACAAAAGCGTGCCGCTCTTTAAGCGCGTGCCGAAAGGAAACTTTTGCTTTCGCTTTTGTTTTAATGCCGAGTACATAAATTTATTTCAGATGAAATTAATCAGTAGTTATATTAGATAGTAAGGGTATTTATGAAATTTTAATATTAAAATATTCTTAATAAACCTGCAATACAGCTTACATAAAAATTCTGGGAATTAAAGTTGTTTTACATTTTTATTTTATATACTTACATCTTCTAAGCCTTAAATGTCGAAAAACGCAATGTTAACTTTTACACTTTTTATGAATATTATATTTTTTATGTTATTTATGTGATTTTTTAATAAACCTATTTTTTGATAAAAAAAAAATATTTTAATTCATAGGAGATAATTATTAATTAGCCTTAAATGTCGAAAAACGCAATGTTAACTTTTACACTTTTTATGAATATTATATTTTTTATGTTATTTATGTAATTTTTTAATAAACCTAAAAAAAGTATTTTAATTCATAGGAGATAATTAGGTTAGTATGCCGGAGTGCCCATAAGCATAAACAGATTGGAGTGGGTCTGATAAGCTTTTCTAAAATTTGCCCCGGGCCCCGTTAGTATAGTATATAGTTATATGCGTCAAATTCGTAAGTGCCTAAGGCGCTCAATTGCCTTAAGCCGGCTCTGCATAAATAGCCTATAAATTTTGTGTTATTATGTTTGCAGATATGGCGGTGGAAATTTTGGATCTTAAAATATTGATGAAAAGATTCCATGTAAACAATTTTCAACAAATTAACTAAGAAAACCCAGGGAAAATTAGGTTAATTTAAAAGGTTTTTACATAATTTCATAGATATTTAACAATAATTGAGACAAAATAATTTTTAAAATATTAGGAATTATTCCTAATATTTTAAAAATTATTTTGTTCAAGAAACCTGTGACGGGTGAGTTGACGGTATCTATGGTTACCACGTAAACTGTCATTATTCAAAATTGGCGTCAATTTTTTAGGTTGTTATAAACAATTTGTCAACTAATTAAGTGTTTTGTAAACAATATTACTGATAAAAAATAATAGTCAGTGACTTATAATAGTTATTTACGTGTCAAGCTTTGTAAATGAATCTTTACGGGCGAGCTGGAAGTTTGTGGGGTGAGCGACGCAGGAGCGAACCCCATAATCCAGTGATCCTAGTAAAGATTAATTGCAAAGCTTGACACGTACAAACTTTTATTTTCACTTTTAGATAACGATTTTAAAATTTAAAATTTTAATTAATGTGTCAAATGTGACATTTCATTTCATAAATTGCTTTTCTACAAGCCTGTAAAACTTTACAGGTCTTTTATACAAGCCCGTAAAATATTACAGGTCTGTTCCTATAATGTATCGTTTACTTGGATACAAAAACAACAAAATTAACCTATAAAATGTCATTTACTAACAAGGTGGAAATAAAAAACATTGACAAGCCAAACATTTTAAAAATTTAAAAGTTATACAAACAGTATTTGCTTATTTAAAAAAAAACAAAGCTGTAGTATGTCAACTAGATAAAGCACTAGCTCATTGTAGACAATAAAATTTATTTTTTGAAATATTTGAATAATAAAAAGAATGCGTACCTAAATGTAAAAGTTTAATAAACCAACAATATTTTAATTAACAATTTTTATTACTAATTTATTACTAAATCTTTAAAGTGGCCTCAATTTACATTTCTTAATTCTTATAAGAATTAAGAAAGTATACTTCAACATAAGACATTGCTTTTCTTGACTAAAATATTGTCTTAAATCAATATGTTTTCCGTTTCCCAGAAACTTCTAATGGACCACGAATGTGAAAAACCATGTATAACAAGTGTCCTAATACTAAAACTCTCAAAAATATCTTAAAATATTCTAAATCTATCATGGAACTTTTTTTAAATGTTTCAAAGTCGGTTTAAACTTGAAAAGAATTATAATAAATTGTTATTTGCCCTTAACCTTGTCGTCATTTTAGCTTGTAATTTTATCTTCACCTAGGTGAAGCTTATGCTTTGTGTAAATATGTTTTTTTATTTAGTGTTATTAATTTATCATTGCTTTTACAAAAAAAATATTTAATTAGCTCAGCTCCTTTGATTCTGGCAAAAGAAAATCAGACGTCGCCAATAAATAAATAGAAAAGAAAAAACGCAATTACTTTAAGAAAAAAGTATTAATTCATTACGTTTACTAAAGGAACACATAA